AATTCATTAACAGGAGCAGGAGCTGGAGGAGCCAATGAGCATGGACTATCCAGCAGCAGCACATGAGGAGGCATCAGTGGACTCATGGAAGGTAAGTAACACTAACTGAGTGAAGGTGGCCAAATTACTTCAGCTAAATGAAAGTGTTTGTTAGAGCAGGTGAATATAAAGAGCAGTGATGCTGCTGCAGAGAACTCTGTGCTCATGTCTCTGGTGTTTCCCACAGACGCTGTATAACAGCAGACACAAGCGTGGCATCAAGTGTCGCTTTTGCTGTGGCTGCTGCACCCCCGGTATCTGTGGAGTTTGCTGCAGGTTCTGAGGATTCCTGCTCCAACAACCACTCAATATTAACTTATGAAGCTTTAAAATAGTCAGTTTTAACTGTGTTCATAGGATGAAACATTTTGATTTGGTAAGGTTGTATTTTCTATGTCTTCAATGATGTGACTGTATCAACATATTTAATCACATGTGTGTACTCATTAATCAAGTCTGTCAAATAATAACATTAAACGGTACTTCAGAATAATTCTTTTGCTCTGAAAAACAGATTTTATTACACTGCAGCCGATAAAGAGCAGCTTTAAGTTCAACAGTAGTTAGACTAAACGTGAAGTAGAACATTACTTCACGTTACATTTTTACATGGATGGCCTATAACTTGAAGTCATTATGTGGCACTAAATAACATTTTATATAAATATAACATAGACAGTTCAATCGTTACTCAGTAGTACTTCTCACTGTATAAGGACCCAATGGTATATGACAGCAAATGTGCTATGAAGTGTTGATTCATCCACTTTATGCAGCTATAACTACATTTATATAGATGGCAACAGCTGAAAGCAGTAACCAGCTAAACTGGTTCCTGCCAAGTCTGTATTTGTGCGTCAGCACTTTAGACTTTAGCCTCTCCATGCTTGGGACCTTATATTTATGGCATTGTTGTTTGGGTTTTTTGATTTAGAAGTTAATTTGTAAATTTAACATGGAAGTCTACGGGGACTGGCTTGTTTTTCAAGCAGAAAAATAGTACCAGCTAGTGGTTTTTGGCACTAACATCTTAGCTTTATTTTTTAGCCCTGGAGTTTGTTTGTTTTTTGTCAAACATTTATATAGACTCATTATGGACATAAATTGAATTTATATATTTATATACACAGGCTCTAATATATCAATAAATTCAAGCTTTTGCAACTAATTCTTGTTTTAAGGATATTTTCTGTACAATCATTCCACCCTGGAAAAACAACAGTTCAAAGAAAGCATTAAAAGCCCAAAGTTACCACGACATTCATGCCCATGATGAGTGCATGTAAACTTTAGACCACATCTTAATTTCCCGTACAGATCTTTTGATCTGATGATGGATTAGACTTTCTCGTTTTGTTTCCATTTGTTGTTCTTAACAAGTTGGTTAACAATTCACAGTGTAGGTTTGGCTGTTATGTAGCTGATCATTTTCAGTGATCATTTATTGGTGTGAAGTGTTCAAACTAAACTTGATCACATTAAGTAATGCATAGGAGGGAGAAGAGGGGGACTACTTTTATCAGGACTTAGAGGAAAAAGGTAAACAAATCCCAGCTGTGTGATCTCCAATAATGACAACACTGCTAGAAGCTCTTATTTTTCTGCACAGGTACTTTAACACTGCACTCATTACTCCAGTGCTGAAAGCATTACTCCTCAGGGGCTGGAATCTTTTTAAAAATAATGAAATCATCCATCAATTCATCAATATATTCGAGGTGGATTTGTAGCTGCAGTGGTCCTTGCAGCTACTATAAATGAGACCAAAAAATGAAGTAATTATTCCTTATAGTCCTAAAAAAACAGTTAAAAAGGCAGAATGTATTCCTGCAGAGCCAATAATCCTACTGTTGTTGTTGACACAGATGTGCTCATTAAGCTAAAGCTAACAGGTCAGCGAGGTCACGGTACATGAGACAGAGTGGAGATAAGGGATTTTGGTTATTGCACAAGATGTTTAGTAAAATTCAAAAGACCCTTTCAACCTTTATCAGAGTAAACACACCGTGCACTCCTGTCATTATTGATTTTGGTATTTCCCTACAATTTATTTCCTTGAACAGATTTACATTATTAAAGTGGTTGTAATAGAGTGACAAAATTTAAAGATAAGCCGTTTGCTCTGTGTTTAAGTTGACAGTTACATGACATTTGATACTGATCCATTTGAAACCCACTTAGTCTAGCATCTTCTTATAAGAAAGTTCCAAGCACTGGACACGTTGATTTGAAATAATAATTAGTGTATTAGTAGCATAGTGCAGAATATAGGTGACAAACTGTGTGCTGTATTAAACTGTTGCACTCATGAAAATTCAATACTATGGCTGAATTAAGGAACTAAGATTATTGAACAAATACTGTTCGCACCAGTGCAAAGTACTTAACATTTTGTTGTTTGGGAATTTCCTATTACAATACCCAGCATCATTTAAGTAGTGTTGCAAGTCTTTCCCAAGAAGGAATAAAGTACTGCCAGTGACAAGGTAACACTGTATAAATAACAGCATGATCAGCAAACAGAGCCATTATGCTCAAAAGCGCTGATAGCAGAAATGAAAAATTCAACTACTCTGACAAGTTAAACTGCTGAAAATGAAAACATTCGCATCTGCAGTCATCTTGGCTGTCGCACTAACTATTTACATTGAGGGGAACGCTGCCTTCCCATTCACAACCGTGAGTAGCCTGCTTGATGTAAATTAAGATTTATTTCTTTTTATTCAATGCTCATCAGCTCTGTGTGTTTTACTGTGTTTCTGAATGTATGCAACTAATCAACAGGTAGAAGACGTGGAGGAAGAAAAGAGCACTGATGATCCTGCTGCAATGCAAGAAGAGACGTCAGTAGAAACATGGATGGTATGCTGAGTTGATCAAATACTTAAAATAAGTCATGAAGCTTGAGTTCATTCAATTTCTAGTCTACAGTGTTTTCAAGTAGCACTTCAAAATACAGCCGACAACCCATCCTGTAATTTTACAGGGCAATTTTTTTATATTTAGGGTGCATTTTCAGTACCCAAAAAATACTTCAATGAAGCAGAACAAAGGAGTAGCAAACTGAAGTTTTAAAGGATAAAAAGACAAAGAAAATATACGTCAAGTGTATTTGAGGAATTTATAACTGAGATATTTTAGAGGAAAGGACAAACGGTGTTGCCCAATCTTACATTGCAATTTTAGGGGAGAGGGCTGTATTACTGTATCATTACCCCAACCACCCTATATTACACTGCAATTACTCATTATTTTGGTGTCCACATTGTTGCTAGAAATATGTGCCGGTAAACATTGGATTTAAAGCCACTCACACTAAATAAAAACACAGTAGAATTTTGGCTTCTTCTTTCCTTTAAAACCTCTAGTTGTCACAGCCCTGATGTACTGTACCTACACCAGTATCTGGGGAAAATTAAACTCTAGGTCAGGAAAATTCAATTCAATTCAGTTTATATAATGACATATCACAGCAACTGTCACCTCAAGATGGTTTATATTGTAAGGTAAAGACGATACAATAAGACAGAGAAAACCCAAACAATCAAACAACACTCTGTGAGAAATCACTTGGCAACAGTGGGAAGTAAAACTCCCTTTTAACAGGAAGAAACCTCTTTGATGTATTTATTGTTCAGACGTATTTCAATTGTTTTTCACAGATGCCGTTTGACATCGGGGAGAATCGCAACACTAGCCCCGTCAGATGTCATCATTGCTGTGACTGCTGCCTGTTCAGTGGCTGTGGCATATGTTGCCAGTGAGGCTCAGATTTGAGTAGCTTCCATCAAAAGCAGCTTTACTTTCTCATCTTCAGCTAAAAAAATATGATGTATGTATTTATTAACAAATAAACATAAACAAATATGTAAGACTGCGTTCTTCCATTTGCGCAACATCTCTAAAATTAGAAATATCCTGTCTCAGAGTGACGCTGAAAAACTAGTTCATGCATTTATTACTTCCAGGCTGGACTACTGTAATTCATTATTATCAGGATGTCCAAAAAACTCACTGAAAAGCCTTCAGCTAATCCAAAACGCTGCAGCAAGAGTACCAATGACCTTGTAGTACCATATCACCCTATTAGAGCACTTCGCTCTTGCTCTGCAGGCCTACTTGTTGTTCCTAGAGTATTTAAAAGTAGAATGGGAGGGAGAGCCTTCAGTTTTCAGGCCCCTCTTCTATGGAACCAGCTTCCAGTTTGGATTCGGGAGACAGACACTATCTCTACTTTTAAGAATAGGCTTAAAACTTTCCTTTTTGCTAAAGCATATAGTTAGGGCTGGACCAGGTGACCCTGAATCCTCCCTTAGTTATGCTGCAATAGACATAGGCTGCCGGGGGATTCCCATGATGCATTGAGTTTTTCCTTTCCAGTCACCTTTCTCACTCACTATGTATTAATAGACCTCTCTGCATTAAATCATATCTGTTATTAACCTCTGTCTCTCTTCCACAGCATGTCTTTTATCCTGTCTTCCTTCTCTCATCCCAACCGGTCGCAGCAGATGGCCGCCCCTCCCTGAGCCTGGTTCTGCCGGAGGTTTCTTCCTGTTAAAAGGGAGTTTTTCCTTCCCACTGTTGCCAAAGTGCTTGCTCATAGGGGGTCATATGATTGTTGTTTTTTTTCTCTGTATCTATGAAGCGCCTTGAGGCGACTTATGTTGTGATTTGGCGCTATATAAATAAAATTGAATTGAATTGAATTGAATTTATCCATGCTGTATTTACTATTATGTACAATAAACAACTGTGATGATCAGAAAGAGGGAGTGTCTAGGGACAAACAACAGAGGCGGCTATATTTTCCGAGGGTGGTCTGCTGTCCAAGTGCAAACCAGGCTCAGCTCTGCAGTGGTTCACTTATTATCCAGTACAGAACATGGAGGTATGGCATCCAGCCATGGTGGTGTGCATGCTATTGTGTAACTTTCAGCATGGCTGGATCGTGCCTCACTATTATAATGACCACAAAGGTCAAATAAATGATGCGGTGTTAAACCGGTGTGGAAATAATTAGGGAACACACAGACTCAGGCAGTCTATCTGACAGAGTTGTGAATGGATGGAACAATATGCAAAGAAGTCAACAGATTGCAAGTGACATGCAGAACAATGGCAAACCCTGTGGTTGCTGTTTAAGCCTGTGTGATTACAATTTAATTACCCCCAATACACACAGAAGTGCAGATACACAAAGAAAAACACACATTTGCTTACACGCATGCACAGACTACCAGTCTGGAGCCTGGTGGACTCCTGCTCTGATCCCACCCTCAT